ATTCCTTAAATACTTTTCTAAGAATATAATTAATTAAAATTTTATTTATTAAAATGCTTTAATTATTTTAATTCATTAATAAATAATTTTATTAGTTTTACTATTATGTAATTTTATTATTTTTTAAATGTATATACAGTATATTTAAATTGTTTAACATATAATTGTTGTAAATTGTCTAAACAATAATTGTTATTAATGCTTCCTGTCCATATTTTTTTGTATTGTAAACTCATTAAAATATGAAAAAATATTTTAATTTTTGTTTTATTCATAAAATGTAAACGTCTTAATTTAATAAATATTTTGCTATTAAATATTTGAATTTCAAACGTTTTTATTGGGAAGGACCGTCGCCATTTGTTGGTTACTTTCTTCCTCCGGAGCTTATTCGAGTTACTTGTCTTTCTATAACTCCCTAACTCAATCGATTTACATGATTAGACTAATTGTGTTCGGCATCGCATTTCGTCCGCTATCCAATATATATATATCAACTTCCTCCAGACATTTCCTATGCAGCTTTATAAATCTCCATTATTTCCTTGCGGGCGCCATGTTTACGGGCTCTAATTCTATAACCCAGTTACAACATAGTTGGAACTTGGTATACCATACGAATTACAAAGATGCATACATTGATACCCCAGCTACGTCACACGTAACTACACACATTCAAAATCCCTATTGTTTACTATGAGGGCATTTACTTGTGCCATAACTCAACCAAATCGAGTAACAGCTCGTGAAGGGTGACGTTTAGGACCCATAACTCTCTTACTTTTTTGGTCGTACAGTGATAAACAATTCTGAAGCCGCTTACTCAGAAAAATAGATTACGACGTGGTCCTCAAAGACAACAGGGTACAAGTGGGTACTCAATAATAAGGGATTCGTGTTTATGGAGCCCTTATTATTCCATAAAGCGTTGGTATTTTACACTCGTATGCTATAATACTTGACAACTTTTGACTTTGTCTATGCTGGTATGTATTTTCTGGTATATATTTTGCTTACGGATTTAGAATAAGTGAATTGAATGCATTTTCATCAAACGGTGTATTGCGTGTTTTGAATCAGCTTTGTACGCGTTAATGAAGCGTACACTAGAATTATTTTTGTATTTACAGTTTATTTAGGCTTTGGTTAAATGTTAATAATTTTATTTAATTTTCGAGCAAAAAAAAATACTTTTGTTTAATTAATTAATTTTTATTTAAAACTTGTAATTGCAGTATTTATTGATATGTTCTTCAAAATAGTTTATAGGGAATATAGTTTTATTTTCGGACATCAGATGGCGCGACATGTTATTGTTATCTTAATTCGTTAAAAAAATTATTTTTAATTAAAAATTATTAAAAGCAAGCTGTAAATTTCTTAAAATTAATAACGGGCATTAAAATTATGGATAATTTAATTTTTATAAGAAAAATATTAAAAAGTGAAACTTTTTATAAATGACTTTGGAGAAATTCCACCGCAAGTTAAACGTTGATTTATTACTGGTTTACTTCCAAAATAATTATATATGCGCTTAAATAATTAATTATTTTCTTGTAAATTGTCCAAGTAGTCTAGATTTTTACACCCCAAAAAGTGTTGATTAAAATAACTTGTTACTTAACTTTTATGCGTACTAAATGCAAACTTTTGAGATTTAGACGAATAATTTTCATAAGAAACACAAAAAATATTACTGTATTTAATTTTGTTTTAAAGTGTTGGAAATATGTATAAAAATATTTCAGAATTTTTCAAGGATTTTATAAATGTTATTCACAATTTTTATGTTGATTGACTTGCAACACTGAAAAGTTCCTTTCCCACATACATGAACATTTAATTTCATTTATAAAAAATAATTTTTTGAAAATATTCAAGATATAAAAGAGTGTTTTATTGTTTAACACGTCTATTTATTTTATAAAACTAATTGTTTAATAACTAGTTACCATCCCCTCAAAGAAAATGGTAAATTGTTTCCTTGTGTATTATAACAAATTAAAAAATATATATTTATAAAAGATAATCAATTATTAATGAAAATATGATTGATAAGAATGTACTTTTATTTTCTATTTTAAGACTACAGCAGGGGAGTTTAGCATCGATATTTATAACCAGAGATGAATCACCCCTTTTTTTACAGCTCAAAAATACCTTTCTTCTACGTTTATGCTTTTATTTCCTTAGGCAAAATGTCGAAATTTGCTAGGTCAGCGATCTCCCAATTACTAGTTTTAGAAAACGTTTCATTAAATCACGTGTTTTTTTTATTACATAAATTTACTTACCCCGTCGACATTGAATTTAATTTTATTCTTTGGAAAAGTGTTTTTTCCAATGGAAATTCCTTAAATACTTTTCTAAGAATTGCTATTTCAATGGTTATTCTGAAATTTGCAAAGTAAGTTAGAATCTCTAGCATAAATGGTGCAGAATTTTTAATATATCCAGTGTAAATGTGCTTAGTTTAAAATTCTTAAGCTTATTATGAGTCTAACATAAAGTTTTTAAGCTCGTTATGAGATATAACGTATAATTCTTAAGCATGCAATACGGCATTCCAAGCATATTTAGCAATAATTATTTTGGAATCGTAAGTATTCAATCTGCTTAGTATAAATTTTGAGCACATTTTAAGTCAATACACAATACTTATGTGTAACATGAATAGAATTTTTAATATATTTTGCACAAAATTCCTAAGCATGCAGTTTTGCATAAAATTCCTACATATCTAGTAATAATTTGCATAGAATTGTTGAAGAAGCAATGAGTTTAGTATAGAATTCTTATTATATCTGGCATAAACAGCTTCTATTGGATTATTAAGGATGTAATGTAAGTTAGTATTGCATGCGTCGTATGCAATACGTTCGTATACATGAAATATTTCTTGAATATACGAAGAAAAATAATGAATAAGTAATCAAAGAAATGTCAATTATTAAGTATTTTCGTTAATTATTCTTTATACATATTAATAATTTAATTATTTTAATATTTTATACATAATAAAAATGTAACTTTATTCAGTACTAAAACGTTTAAAATTGAATCAAATTGCTTGATTTAATTACACGTAAATTTACAAATATCAAATTTTTCATTAATTAAACACTTATATAATGTTAATAATATTACGTATTAAATGATATTAATATGATTAAATTAATATAAATTGATTTGTTAACTTATTAGCAGTCATTAACTGTATATAATTATGGAAATGTTTAATATATTGCTGTTTAGTAGAAAATTTACCGAAGAATAGAAATACATTTAACATTTTTAAATATTTAACGTTAAATTCTATAAATATTTAACATTTCTAAAGTCCTATAAAGCTTGAAATTATTCGAATTTTTAGTTTATGTATTAATCTTTTACGTTTTATAATTAAAAAAAATACTAAACAATGCTCAAAATTAAATTTAATGTTAAAATCCCAAAATTATAAAAAATTAAATAAAACAAAATTACTAGAAAATGTGTTAATATAAATCAAATTTCTGAGTATATTTAAGTAAACAACACGTGTCTTTATAAAAATATCACACCTGTGAGGTAACTACAGCAATTTAAATTATTATAATATAATGTTTAAATATAAGTTAACAACATTCTTTTGTTTTTATAAGTTAAAAGAAATTGCCAAAATTAAAAAAATAATAATAAATAATAATAAAAAACGAGGGAGGAAATACTCTGACAAGTTTTCTCTTAACTTAAAACGCCTCTTCCTCACCAGGGGGCGTTCGTTACCTCGTGTTTTGTCTGTGTGTGACGTAACTGGTGAGCAGGTTGTTGATTATGCGCACGCCTGGGGATACAGATAAAGTTAGAGTGAGTTGGCGGTTGGTGTACAGTTGTAACAACACACGTCTCGAGTAATGTTTACGTAGGAACACATGGAGAAATTGAAATACAGGGAGCATGATTGACGTTCATTGTTTATCATGGTCACTTTCTATAATATTTCTAACAGTGCTGTGTCCCAGTTTGGTATACTTGGAGACTTTTAAGGTAGGATTTTTACCGACGATTTTAGGGAACAAAAATTCAGGAGATGGGATAGTTATTGCTGGTGCCCTTTCGTATGCCATCGAAATTATAAATAACAGTTCCATGTTAAATGGTCACGATCTTACTTTGATTTATAATGACACAAAAGGTGACGATGTGGTGGGTATAAAAGCATTTATTTACCAATGGCAACAGGGTGCCATTGCTATTTTCGGTCCTGAAGATTTGTGTAAAATACCAGCGACTGTAGCAACTGCTGTCAACCTGGCAATGATCTCTTTTGTAAGTAACACGAATANAAATGATAATATCTCAAGCAATTTTGATTTAATTTTCAGTTTTATTTTCAAAGTATTAAGGTAATAAACACTTTAATGACTTGTGGTGCTAATTCCAATATTTTTTCTGTTTTCACATAAAAATATAAAATTAAATTATTTTAATAAGTATGAAACTTCAATACATTTTTATTTTATTTTATATTTTTTTCGTAGTTTCATTCAGAAAATATGAAAAACAAAATTCGTTCCTAGTTTTTGCATTTGTTAAGTGAAATTGTAGAATTTCTAATAAACACTGGTGTTAAATTTCAGTTAATTTTCTTCTTGTTCACTGAATTTTTTAAAATATATGTTTGTTTTATTATAAATAAAACAATAAAAATCAGATTTTTAAGTATAATAATATTTTTTTAACGTAAATTAATTGAAGAAAAGATTAATTAATTAATGTGAGGCACCAGTAAATTACAGACTCTGTGACTAGACACAATTACAGTTATGAGAAGGCTAACCTGAAATTACCTGCCACTCTAGATAGAGATAGGGAATTATTCCTCAACCTCTACTGCCTATGGTAAATTATGGTAATCTGGATGGGTTCGAATCCAGATCTATAGCATTAATCACACAGCTGGATGATCGAGGCTAATGAAAGCTCAAATCTGCCGTCCAGAACAGCAAACTGATGCCTTTACTGCCTTGTCATCTAAGTTCGTCCAAAATGCCCGGGTCAAGCTTTAATTCTTCTCAGTGTTCGAGTATGGGTTGGCTGAAAATTTTTACCAGTCTGTTAGTCCCGTTCCTTACCACGGTAGACTTGCAAATTCATGACAGAAATAATAAATAAAGCCTTCTTATTGTCCTCAGGTGGAAAGAGTTAAAAATTAGTTTTAAAAATAAATAAATAAAAAATCACTAGGCAGCCGTCTGGCCTACTGATGCGAGGAAACGAAAGAAAAATAGTCAATACTTCCGATGTGAACAAGTGAATTTACACGAATAATTCTTGTTTTGTATGCAGTGTACATGAAAAATATTCGTTTCAGGAAAGCCAATATATTTGATAATATGCTCATCATGATGGAAAAATATGCCAATAACCTAGAAGCGTTAGTAGATGAAAGAACGGATCAACTCGTTGAAGAAAAGAAAAAAACTGAAGCACTTTTATATGAAATGCTACCAAAGTAAATGATTTTATCTTCTTTATATGTGAATTAAATACAAGATGGCTCAAAAATCAATTAACCGTTGAAAGGACACGAAACTTCACCGATTTTGTCTCATACATTGGCTTAGTGTACTTACAATACACGCAATAAAATGTAAACAAACGTGGTTAACTGACTTCTGGGCCACCCTAATCTTTTCTTTATCAGTATAAATAATTATATTTTTAATATAATAAATTGTAGATACGTAGCAGAACAATTAAAAAGAGGAAATAAAGTTGAAGCTGAATCATTCGATCAAGTAACTATTTATTTTAGCGATATTGTTGGATTTACAAAAATGTCAGCTGAAAGTAGTCCTCTACAAGTGAGTTTTTTTTTCTTTTTTTACGAAAATAAATTAATAAATTTTTTATAAAAATCTTCGTAAAACACGTAAATTTATTAAATAATTAAATAAATAATTCATTAATATACCTACAATTGTATAAATATAGTCTACATTTAAGAATTAAATTCATTTGAAATTGTATATTTTAGTATTTTATTTTTTATCTTAATTTAAAGGTCGTCGACTTTTTAAACGATTTATATACATGTTTCGATTCGATAATTGAAAATTACGATGTTTACAAAGTGGAGACAATCGGAGATGCTTACATGGTAGTAAGTGGCCTACCAATAAGGAATGGCGATCAACATGCTGGTGAAGTGGCTTCTATGGCTTTACATCTTTTAGAAGCTGTTAAAAAATTTAAAATTCGACATAAACAGGATGAAAAATTAATGCTAAGAATAGGATTACATTCTGGTATTAAAAAAATACTAATATTTTCTTAACGATTTTGATATAAAATATCTCAAACTTATATTTAAAAAACAAAATAATATTATTTTAGGTCCCGTTTGTGCTGGTGTTGTGGGCTTAAAAATGCCAAGATACTGTTTATTTGGTGATACTGTCAATACAGCTTCTAGAATGGAATCAACGGGACTTCGTACGTATTACTTTATGTTCTTCACCTAAACAGTTTATGAATTTTATCAATAAAATATATTTTCTTATTGAGCGGAGAAAAAATTTTATTGATGTAATTCTAATTTAAATAGGATCAACTACTCGAAAATTAAAAAAAAAAAAAAATTATATAGGGAATATAATACGATATTATTTTATAATTTAAAGGAACGAATGGATTAACAGATTAAAAAAACCAAGTAACAATACATAAGTTTCTGGATAATAATAATACATTTTAAAAAATGATAAAAAGTTTTAATTTAAATGGACATTATTTTCAAAAACATTAATTTGATATAATCTTGAAAATAAAAGCTACTTTTGCTACTTAAAATATCTTTTTATGCAGTCATTAAGTGAAGATCCATTATTCTTTAAAAACAAATAATTTCTTTTACTTTTTATTATCGTACATCTTTACTAATGTTATTCTGGATGACAATAAAGGGATTTATTCGTAGTGATGAACAGAATGGATAAGTTAATTCCATATTCATCATATACACTATATATTGTGACAGCTATTTATGGTATAGGATTATACGCGATGAATATTGTCGTTTATATGAATGCATTTTAAACATATTTAACCAAATTGCTGCTATGCAAATTTTCATCCCTTTTTTTTACTTTTTCGGCCGTTATAACAGAGGATAATTGGTCAAAACATGACCCACCCAAGATTTTCACGTTTTTTACCCAGGGAACCTTGAAACGTCGATAAATGCAAAAAAAAAAAATTTGAGGGTTTTCTGTATGTATGGATGTTAGTGTATCAGGAGGCACGAATTGAGTGTATAATTTTAACATACAAAAATAGTTTTTAATGTCACGAATAAAAAATATATATATTTATTTATTTATTCATTTTAATTTAATTGGTATATTATCTTCCAGTAATAAGTTTAAATAAAATATTTACATATATATATATATATATAATTAGTGAGAATTTAGAAATTCCATCCTTCATTACGTCGATCAATACGTCTTTAATGAATGACGTTCGGAGTATCGATACATTTTTAATGAGTGGCAACACTTTGCATCGATATGTCTTTAATGAATGATGTCATTATTTGTTTGAATAATGTAGTTACGTAAGTTCCATTTTGTAACGTAATTAAGGGCAGATAATGTATTA